ATGTATACTAACAACCGCATCATTGACTGCTCTCAAGTCCTGCACAGGTCGATACTCATCTGTACCGGGCTTTTGAACAGGCAGCAATGGGGTGTTCCAGGGGGAAGTACAGAATTTTAGGATACCATACCGTATGAACTTATCCAGATAAGATTGGATGTTCTTCTTAGCCTTCTGCGGAATATGATATTGTCTCAGGCTTACTGGATAAACCCCAAGTTTTAGTTCGATTTTAATAGGTGGAATATTGCGGGCCAGTCCTGGTGGGTTGTTCTCTGCCCAAACTCCTGGTATGTTAAATAAGGATTCATCACTCCTCGGGTTTTGGCTAGTCAACACTGTATAAAGTCGCCACTCTTCTTCCTTTGGTACGGACAATGTCATAATACCTGAGGGTCCATTAAACTTTAAGGATGTTGTTCCATTTGGTAGGAACGTAATCTGCGCTTGTAATTTGGATAGCATATCACGTCCCAGCAATTGGACTGGACACTCAGGCATATAAAGGAATTGATGTTTTACTACGTGGCCTCCCAATGTACAGAGTCGACTTTTAAGAACCGGTTTTTCAGCACTTCTTCCAGTTGCTCCTATTACAGTAATAGTTCTTCCAGATGGAGGAGCAACTTGATTAGTCACCACCGAATGTTCAGCACCAGTGTCGATCATGAACGCACTCCTTTTTCCCCCTATTGATACATCGACCATAGGCTCCGCTCGACCAAGGGGGATGGAGCCCGGTCGGTATCAATAGTCCTCCATGACCGTGTCAGCCAATCCCACAAAGTCCCTACCTTCTCTATCGCGGGACCTTTGCGCTGCTGGATAGTACCTATCTTCCCTTACACTTCCTCTGTTCCCATTACTCCCTCTATTACCATTACTCCCTCCGGGGCCTCCTCTACCTCTCGCTCTGCCTCTAAAGTTTCCGTAACCTGCCCTGGGTAAGTCTCTCTCATACTGCTCTCTTTGCGGACACTCGTTCCTCCAATGCCCTTCTTCCTTACAGTACGCGCACTGATTCCTACTCAAAGGCTCCCTATTCCATCTACCATCGCCTCTATCTGGGCCCCGTCTATCTACGCCTGCGATCGCTACCGCTAGCATATCTGCCTTTCTACGCATCTTGCGCTCTTCCTCTTTCTTACTTTCTGTTTCCCTATTCATATATACTTTGTTCGCTACCTCCATTAGTTGGGTGATAGACATACCTGCAAACCCTTCTAATTTCTGTAGCTTGCGCTTAATATCTCCGTAAGCTTGGCTGACAAAGGCGGAGTTTACCATTCGGGAATTATCAGCGCCTTCCGGATTAAAGGGGGTATACAAGCGGTATGCCTCCAATAATCGGTCATAAAAGACACTGGGCGCTTCATCACTTTTCTGAATCACCTCAACTGTCTTCGACATGTTAATAGCTTTCTTCCCTCCGGCTTTCATGCCAGCAATTATAGCATCTCTATAGGCTTTAAGTTGAGCCATATCTGCGCCATTTACATTCCAGTCAGGATCGGTGTTAGGGTAATGTGTTGCGGCCCATGCTGCCGGATTGGCTTGATTTAAAGCACGGGCTCTCTCCTCTAGCGCCTTAATGGCCGCTTGGTTAATCCTTGTCCTTTCCTCATTATTGAACAATGTCATTAATAACTGCTGGCAATCAGCCCATGTCGGGTTATGTGTCTGAACTATCGAGGTGAACAGATCGGTCATAGCTTGTGGTTTCTCAGTGTACGAGGAATTGTGGGTCTTCCAATTCAAGAGATCGGTAGTCGTGAACGGGACATATACGAAGACTGGGTCAGCATGTGCCATTTGACCTGCGGCATCGATATAGGCTGACCCAGGATTCAGACGAAGAGGCATCTGATAATGTTTTAATTGTTGGGTACCGGTCAGTTGTCGGGTTAGTATGGGGCTACGTGGAGGGGCGTCAGTTAAAGGTTCCGGTCGAGAGGTAATAGGGCATGAGGATGTGGGAACTTGATTTTGGGAAAAGTTAGTGAATAGTATACTCCGAGCCGAGCTAGAAGAAGCTTGACCGGAAGTTTGAAGTGGCGCCAAATCAGGATATTCAAATCTAATGGGGGTTGGTCCTGGTTCCGGAAGGGGAGTTTTAATACGAGGGGGGGTGGATTCTGTACTGGAGGAGGAAGCGGAAGTGGATGGGGGCAATAGGGGAAGGGGTGCAGAGCTTCCTGCATTCGCGTCACTTCCTCTTAAAGGAAAGTAAGGGGGCGGCAAAGGGATCTCGGACTCAGGGGGCGTGTCCAAAATGGGCCTAACACCAGTCCTAGTGGACAAACAAGTCCTGGCCACCATGAGGCGACATTGCTCCTCGTGGCATATCCGGATCCATTTTGGCGAGTCGTTTACGGCCTGCCCCCAACAATCAATGTATGGAAACTGTCCGTAAAGTTCAGGCCTACCTGACACAGCCACGTGTACACGCTGTACCAGGGTTGGATCCAAACTGCCACGCGGCGGCCATGCCGCAACCAAAATAGGCCACTCCCTAGTGCACAAAGTGACCAAACGTACAGGAGACATTTTAACCCCCAAATCACATGTTTTGAATCCCTTTTTAAAATTCTTTACCATACAACCTAAGGGATCCGAAATCGTTGACTCTGACGCGCCCATACTTATCAATGGAACGTCGTTGACAACGAATACTATGCACGCGTTCTTATTCAACAGTCACACCCGTTTCCTCTGGCAACAGCACCACGTGGTACAGTTACCGAGTGAAACGTACACAATAACACAATAATCACTCAGGGAATTCCCGTACACACACAGCTGTTACACCAGTCACTAAATAATCAATATTATGCCCTTTGGCGAAACTATACAGTCACCCACGCTATAATTCTCTATATATGAATTACCCGTCTATAACACACCCCAGTAACATCGTCTTTTACTAGTATCGGTTACAGTACGGTTAGCATAGGTCAAAGCACAATTTAAGGTCACAATACAATTATTAGTGGTTAGGGTGTTAAACATGCAATAGACGACAATGATTAGTACTTATATACAGTGTCAGTAAATATACAGGGTTATGGTACCGTGCACTATGATACAGCAACACACTATTAACACTCTCGCTAGACGGCTGAGCTCGCGCTATCTAACAAGATATACACTTTACTAACAATCTTTAACACATTTACAATCCCAACTAAACTATTGGCCAGTACCTTGAATGGACTACCTAAAACTATATACACCCGTTTTGGTTAGCCACACTGCCCAAACACCACATATAGCGAACTAGAGGGCGAAATTTACAAAATTGCCCTTCTAGTCTATTTACTCTATCAAAAGTCTAGTGGGTTCCAAATTTACACGCCTTCCCACTTAGCCAAGATAGGTTGAGAGCTAGCGAACCGAATTTACACAGGCGCCGCTTAGTCTCCCGGTCCCTCCGACCTAGCGAACGTAATATACACCCTAGAACGCTAGTCTAGACAAGACACCGGTGTCCGGCTAGGGCTATTTACACAGGACCCCGCCTGACTAACCAGATCAAACGGTCTTACTAAAGAGCGTTCGATCGAGCGGTGCGCCTTCGCTCCTTCCCTCCGACAGAGGGGGCAGATTCCATACACAGATTTAAACCCCTTTTGGGCCTACCGCACAATCGGTATACCCCTAGTGGGTCTGCCGTCTAAAACAGCAGTTGTCTTACCTCCTCGTTCCTGAACCTGAGTTCACACTCATCGACGGGGACACCCCAGCACTTCTTACGTAGAGGCCGATGATCTCCTGGACAACAGACCAGTGGCGCCGAGACGAAGGGAGGTCCACGCAGAAGTTCAGGGGTGCAGCCGTAGAGAACGTGGGCAAAGATAGACCGTCTCACGCCTCTGCCTCTCAGCTACCGTTGAACGATGAGCTTCCCGGCCAATGCACCAAATGATACCGGAGAAACTGACGGAAGCAAAGCACAGAGGGATGGACACAGGTTTCTTCAGGAAGGAAGAGATTCTTTATTGGATCACCGATCGGGACTCAGAGGGACTAATGTCACCAAAAATACAGCAAGTTCTGAGCCCTGAACAATAGTGCAGGCTCCCTATATAGGCACATAACTCCTCCCATATTAAGCTCCACCCGCACATTCTCTTGACCAAATAAGAATTAACTTCCTGCTTGACCGCATGGCTTGTCCAGCACAATGGAGGAGGGGAATACTACATCCTGTATTCTTGCACATGCTCCGTACACTACTGATCGTATCTTGCCTCGTGCAACCAACTGATCGATACGTCAGCATATGCACGTACACATGCCACGTGGTAATCTCAGCCTACTAAATTTATTTTTACTGAGATTCCACCACACTACAGCTTTACGAAGTTGGGACCAATTCAGTCTCCCTACCGGCCAGCAGCATCCAGTCATCATGAGCCGCAAGGGCTGTAGCAGGTCTTTGTGTGTAACAAACTCAGATCTCAGTACGTGCTGTCTTGTGCTCCACATAAGTTAAACTCATTCCCTCTAGCTGAGAAGTTTGCAATCAATAAATGTTCATTAGCAGTATAAAAACTAGGAATTCTCATCCTTGTAAAGGATCACTATTAGCTTAAGGTTTACAGTCCCTTAGCAGTATAAAAACTATGTAAAGGATCTTTGTGAGCTGGAGCTATAAAGGTCCTTTTGCCGGATAGGAACTAGATTTCTCACAGTGAGCTGTCTAGTTCCTATCCCTGGAAGGGACCTGTGTAAGCTGGAGCTATAATGGTCCTTTAGCAGGATAGGAACTAGCTCTCTCACTGTGAGCTGTTCTAGTTCCTATCCCTATACAGGACCTGACCAGTAGAGGGCGAAAAGGTCCTTTCGAAGGATGGGAACTAGCTCTCTCACACTGAGCAAGCTATTTCCTATCCTCAGAAAGGACAGGGTCCTTCTACTGGATAGGAGCTAGTCGCTACCCTTTGCATACAGACACACGCGACACTCTAGTGTTTACAACTAGCGTGGAACGCTGGGTGCGGAAACGGAAACTGTTGTTGCTAGGAGACCGACGAGTGGCGTGCTACCTGCCTAGAAGACGGATAGACCCGTGTGTCAGGTAAGAGCTTCCACACTAATGGACGGCTGTTACTGTAACACTAGATGAGATATGTGCCTGGGAATGATGTGTACGCTAATGGGGACAACATGAAGGCAGTATAACCGAAATCTCTAAAAGGCTTACTCTAGTTTAGTTAAGAACGGGCACATTGTAGTAATTACTTTAATCTGTGGCTGGCTTAGCATAATGAGACCTGTTGTCCATAAATGCTGGAGCACCAAAGCAAGCCATATATAGTGCATCACGTGGCTCGATATCCATGAAATGTTCTTTAATCTGGGAATACTGAGCATGTAATATCTGTCCCCTTAGGGCTGAGATGATTCCTATGGTTTTTCTATTTGTTTATTTTTTATCAATATTAAACGTTAAGCAAGTTAACATTGCCCTCGTTGGCCAGGTCAGTGATTTCTCAGACTATTCATTAACCCCTTGTCCTACTCTAGTGTACTCTCTGTCACTCCTGATATGGGAAATAATAATGCTGTACGTTTACAAGAAGGGGGAAAAAGTCGATGACAGCATAATGGCCTTAGTTACTGTATCTATTTGACGAGCAGCTGCCAGAAGCCACTGTTCTGCTTCTGTTCTCTGGCCAAGTGGCTTCTTGACTGCGAGCACACATGTACTGTATGAAGCAGGTTAAGTAATGTATGTAACGATTTAGTCATAGAGTGTTCAGACTACTGATCTATTATAAACTGTGTTGTAGAATCCAATTTAACAGTTAAAGCCAAACGTATAAATGAAGTGATGTCAGATTTCTCTAGCAGTAAAGTGAGCCCAAATTCTGTGCAAGCCATGGGGGTTTATTTATTAAACAGATAACTAATGAATTGGGACAAAAATTGCTAAATTTAGGCAACAATAACTGATTTGTATAAATTCTCGTAGTCACAGCTTGACTATTTTTGCCTGCCAATTGAAATCTGCAACAAACCAGTGTTTATAGACCCCATACAATTTTCATGATAAAAAAAAAAAAAATAATTGGCGCACAATTAGAGTTCAGTTTATTCGCTAAATCCCAAATTGCAGTAAACTGAATGGAGCATTTTTGTAAAAATAACGACGATTTGATTATATCTAATTTAAAAACTTTGACAATCAGCTGTTTTTGTCTTAATTTTGCAATTTAAAGGGACACAATAGTCACCAGAACAACTACAGCTTATTTGTTCTGGTGAGTAGAATCATTACCTTCAGGCTTTTTCAGAGAAAATGCAATGTTTACATTACAGCCTAACGATAACTTCACCGGCCACTCCTCCGTTGGCTGCTAGAGCTGCTTTCTATCTCAGTCTTGCCTAGTTTGAATCACAACATTCAGTATATCCTGCCTCTGCATGCAGACACTGAACTTTGCTCATAGAGATTCATTGATTCAATTCATCTCTATGAGGAGATGCTGATTGGCCAGGGCTCTGTTTGACTTGTGCTGGCTCTGCCCCTGATCTGCCTCATTCACACTCTCAGCCAATCATATGGGGAAGCATTGTGATTGGCTCAGAACAACACTTCTTATGATGTCAGCTTGCCGTTCTGAGGCAAACCAGGACAAAACCAGCAGCTTCAGGCTTGAATACAAGTAAGATTTTACTATATTTAGGGAGGCAAGAGGGGGCCAGGAGGATTAGATGGTGGTTTTAACACTATAGGGTCAGAAATATGTTTGTGTTCTTGACCCTATAGTGCTCCTTTTAGTTTCACTGCAGTTTCTGCCTTAGTGAAGTATACTCTGAATTAATAAATACGATTATTGGCTGCTAGTGCATTGTTAAAAAAACGAAACAATGCACAACAGGAGGAAAACAGGGTTGGCTCTATACTATTCCTCTTATAGCACACGTGGCAGGGAAAGTGTTACATTGAAAGGAATCCTTAAATAATCATAATCACTACAGCAGGCTGTAGTGGTTATGGTGTCACAAGTCCACTTTTACAACCCAGCTGTTTTTGAATCTGTGATCCCTCCAGTATTCTTGATATAGGTAATAGGTTTGCCATCAGTGAGTCATGGGTCCCCTTACAGAACAATTTTGTGAAAGCCCCCTGGCACACACTCACAGACATATATACTCTACAAACTTACAGCTACACATACGTTTATCTCTCCCAGAAACATACATTTACAGACACACACACACACAGAATATACAGTTTGAAATCATAAATTAGTGCAATCTGTCCATTGTTCAAGCATTGTAAGTGATGCTGTTTTTTTTTGTTGTTTTTTTTTTTACTAAGTAATCTTACTATCTATCATTAAACTTCTTTTATTTTCAGTGGTGCTGCTGAAGTTGAAACCATGAGTGGGGGCAATTTCGGAATTGCTGGGCCTATTCCCCCAGATCCACCAATTGTTTATAAACGCCCAGCATCAGGTGAGATGTTATCAATGTATGGCAAACAATACATATATTTTGCTATTAGAAACGTTTATATTTGAATCTGCAATTACAGCTGTGGCTCCCTTGAGGTAAGTGTCTACTAGTCTTGCACATCTGTATCCTGCAGTTTGTGACCACTCTTCTTGACAAACTTGCTTAAATTCTGTCCGAATGGAAACTGTTGTTGAGAAGCCATTTCCAGTATTTTCACAAATTTTTAATCAGAATAAGACTTGGACAATTGTAAGACATTTACGGTCTTGATTTAAATCACTTCAGTGTTTGTTAATGTTTTTAGGGTCATTATTTTGAACCTTTAACATACTTTCTGATGTCTTGGAGAACGAGACAGATTTTCCTGTAGAATTGCACTCAACTTTTCAACTCCATCCATCTTGTCCTCAATCTTGACTAGTTTCCCAGTCACTGCTGATCTTTAGCTTCTCTCTGTTCGTCTGTTAATCTTTGGTTTGTAGAAAGTCTGGGTTTTGCTTGTCACATGGAAGGTTTATCAGTTTTCAGCTTTGGATCTCTCCAAAGTTACTACTGGCCTCTTGGTTGCTTTTACAATTAATATCCTTACCTGGTTACTCAGATTTTCTGGGTTTTCTTCTTTAGGCAGTGATATGGTTGTATCATTGTTTCCATTTTTAATGGTGCTCTGCCCAGGCTATGGGACATTTCGTTTAAGTCAACCCTAATTACTGCTTCTACAGAACTTTATCCCGGACTTGTTTTATTTGTTTCTTAGATAGACTCTGTAGGCACCAAAACAACTTTGGCTTAATGAAGTGGTTTTGATGCATAAATCATGCCCATGCAGTCTTTCTGCTTAATTCTCTGCCATTTAAAAGTTAAATCACTTTATTCATGCAGACTTTGCCATACCTTCCTAGATTTCATGAAGGTTGTGTGATTCACAGCCAGACGAGGTGTGGTTAGGGCTGTATAAACAAAGCAATTTAATTCCTAAGTGGCAGAGAATTGAGCAGTGAGACTGCATAGACATTATCCGTACACCTAAACTGATAAATCAAAACAGAATCATAAAAAAGGTACATACTATTTTTTTTTTTTTAATGAACGGCGAGTTGCTGATTGGCTTAGAGTGTCAGCTGACCGCTCTTAGCTAATCAGCAACACTCCATGCTTCCTCAAACTGAATTGGAGAAAGCGGATGCTGCTGGGGACAGAGAGTTCCGGTGCTGGCGAGTTACCTGTGGGTTAAACCATTCACTGGAGTTAAACGGTGAATGGTTTAACCCCTTTGGCTAAGAAAGTGCCAGGGACCTCTGGGCAACATAACTTAATTTTGATAAAGTTGTTATGGTGCCCAGAGTGTTCCTTTAAATTGATAACATTTTATCTTGACTCCAATGCCGGGCGAGATCTTCCTTACTTTGTGTCACACCTCCTCATCCGTGGTCCAATCAAATGTTTCTCACAGAGAAGCATTTGATTAAAAAAAGAATCTGCTTGCAAAATACGGAAAAAGATCCAATGTTTCATTTCTATAGTAGATTTTTTTTTTTTTTTTTTTTTAAATCAAAATGTAGGAAAACATAGAGGAAAAAAAGGACACTAGAATTAGTGTATCAGGTACAGAATACCAATAAGGTATTTGTGGAGGATCCTCAGGACAAAACCGCATGTAGTGGAGAAAGATAGGAATCCAGACTGAATGTGGCCCCTACAGCTGCAGACTGGGGACATACTAAGAAATACTGCAACTGAGCGACCTTGCTATGTGATTTAAAGGGGGGCTAGGCATAATTGCTCAGCCACAGTATTTTGAAGGATTTAAAGGGCTACGTGCAGCTCTCACTTTAAGCACTTGTAGCTCATCTGTCTTTTTGGAGCTGTTAACTGTGGCCCCAGCTGACAGAGGGGACTCTCAGTTATCAAAAAATACTTGGGGTTCCTTGGTACCAGCAGGGATTTAGCTCCTGCTGGTATTTCTAACGCATGACAGTTTCTGCCATCAAGGGGTGTTTAAGCCCTGCACTGCATAATGGCTTAGACAAAGGGTTAAGAAACAGCGAACACACACACAAATGCAGTTTCAATACTTAAAAGGTTACTTTTCTCAGAAAAGGCAGAATTTACTTTGAAAAGCCTGCAGGGACAGTCTGCAGACACCAGAACCACTACATTTAAGCTGTAGTTGTTCTGGGGACTATAGTGTCTCTTTAAGTTCAAATCTTTTTAATCAGAATTCTTTGGCGACATCTTGTGGCTAAATTCTGAATAACACTTGTAATTTGATTGAGGCCTCAAAATGGCCAATTTGTTTAATTCATTAATACGTTCATGCCTATATGGTTTATGCCCTATGTATGGGATTGTCCATATATATTTGAAGGTAATATTGTTAGATATAGATATTCCTATTCATGATTAAAAACCTTCATGTTTACAGTCTGGAACCCCTTTAAATGTCACCCACCTCCAGTGGTCAGAGCTTGGCTGTTTTAGTCTAAATTTTACAATTTGGATTTCCGCTGCTTTTTATTCCCAGTCTATCCCTTTCTGCAATAACACTCAGCCTTGGTACCACCAGGATCTGGCTGTGTCTGTGTGTGGGCATATGCTACCTTAAGGTGCTTTAGGGCGTACCAGCATGGGGGTGTGGTAACTGAGGATACTGCTACCCTTTTCCATTGATATGACCATTTATAAAAGTGCCGATTTCAATGGCAGTCTACACTTTTATAATTGGGGCAGAAACACCTCTCTGGCTGTCACTCATAGAGTTAACAGAAACGGCAGACATGCTGGGCTAGCATGCACCTGTCTTCAACCCTTCTTAATGAGCTTTACTACAGCTGATTGTAAAGCATAGAAAAAGTTGCAATCACACTCCCGGTTCCAGCACAGAGGCTTCTACAGGAGAAGCTTCTCGTGAATAATCTGGTAGTGGAAAAAGAGGGAAGTGTTTGCAAATACAGCAGATTATCAGCTTTTGCACGCTGCTTCCCACCCCATCATCCATCCTCTTCTGTTCTTTTCTCCTCTCCCACTTACAATCATACTTGGTGCTAGTCACATCCACTACTATGGTATTCATTCATGCTATCAACACAAAGGGTCTTAACATCCCTAAGAAGAGATCCATGCTCTAAAAGATTTCAGTTCCCACAGGTCACATGTGATATATATTTAAGAGATTCCCTCATGTACTGACTGGGTCCTGAAACTCGCAAACCAGATTTACACACAAGGCTACTTTGTCAATAATCACAAAGAGAAATCCAAAGGCACTGCTATCTTACTCCATAGAAAGTTACCCCTTGTTCATCGGGTGTTTCTGACAGACCAGGGAGGATGATACGTGTTCATAAAGTGAACGATCCTTGGCCATATGTACACCCACCCCAACAAGCAACAGTGCTAATTCCTTTGGTCTGCCCTTCTCATTCTTGCTTCCTTTACAGATGGATGCCTTATACATTTAAAAAAAATTTTTTTTAAAGGGGTGCGGTGAGAGTGCCCATTCTGGGAAAATAGCGCTCTGGTCCTTGCAGAATTTGCCAAACGTCACAGTCAAAGTTTAACCCAACCACTACGACAACAGTAGCCAAAAAGAGTTCCATGCGGTCGGGGGCAATCCTCAGCAATTTGCCAGGTGTCACAGCGTTGTGGGGTTTGGGAGATCTCTGGGTATTCCAGGGAGCGATTACTCCGTTTTGTGGTAAGAGGCTCCTCTCCAAAGAGCGCTCTCCTTGGTTGTCATGAAAGGGGTGAACATGGAGGTCCGAGGTGACCGGGGAACCTGTAACAATTGGCTGAGTGGAGTTCCAGAATGGTTGGTGGTTAGTTCCACTGATAGTGTCTGGACACTCTGAGTCTCAGTGAAGGGGAAGGCACTGTATATAGGTGGGGGGGGGAGGAGCTCAGTGGATCATAGTCCTTAGAAGTGAGTTTATCACATCCTTGATTTATACTGCCTCAATCTGTTTTGTCTTCCAATATCACCTCTATGTGGATGACATGCTGATCTATCTGCACTCTCCTGATCTCTCGCTGTCTCTCTTGACTTGTGTCCCTGACTGCTTCTCTACTATTTCCAACTGGATGGCTGCTCATTTTCACTCATTCACCCTTCAAGTCCAGTCACTCGCCAAATACTGCCGCTTCCATTTTAAAAATATAGTTCGCGTCTGCCCCTATTTAACTCCGAATGTGCCCAAGATGCTGGTCCATGCCTGTTTTTTTTTTGTTTTTTGTTTTTTTCAGAACATTTTCATTATTTCCAGAACAAAAACCATATTTATCTCCTATGGCGTCACAATTTCCAGGAATGTTATATGTCTAGTTTCACTTTCCCTATCTTACTCTTATCCGAAGAAGCTGAAGTAGATCAGGTGAAACATGTAAAAAGGGGAACCGAATGTGTTTGATTTGTCCATGAGCGTGAGGGCTGAAACAGTTTGGCACCGCTGTATAAATATATTGAACTGGTAATGAGGAAGTAAAACTTCCTTGTTATGTCATCTCAAGTAGTGAGAGTCAGCTTTGGGTGTCAGAAAATATATAGGTTTTTTGCTAAGCTCACTGGAAACAAATACATAGGGACTGCACCCATAGCCTCATTGCACAGAGAACTACATTATGCTGTTTATCTATAAATTGTAACATTTTGTGGTGAGGATTGCCAATGGACAAATCTGCCTCAGATGCCAAATATACTAAGTATGTCTATCCTTTATGTCCCTTCTCTTTGTGATAGTCCCCATTTCTCATTTATTTGCTTTACTAAAGTTTATTTATTTTTTCCTTTGTAGCTCGTGGGAGACTTGAAGGCACTAAGTTGGATTTTTTATCTGGTCCGCTGGCCCCAGATCCTACATTGTACCCAGCATGCTACAGTGCCCGTCCAGCAAATCCTCCTCCAAGAATACTCCCTAATGCACGTGACATCTTGGAAAGAGGCCAAAGGGGGACTGTTGGTATCCTTCTGCAACTTGAAGGAATCTCCCTTAATTCAGATATACAACCCAGAAGTAAGTTCCATCTATGAATGGTTAGACATTTCACTGCTTTTATTTTTATCAAGAAGGCAAACTGTAAACCTTATTAGATACTGAGGAGCTCGTTATGTAACTTGGTGGAGCATCAGAAACTCCCCATTTAACCCCTTAAGGACCACACTTCTGGAATAAAAGGGAATCATGGCATGTCACACATGTCATGTGTCCTTAAGGAGTTAATAGACTTGTTGATAGGAAACCTAAATAAGCAAAACAAATGTTGGCATTTCCCGCGGGGGCAAAAATAAAACTGAAGATGAGTGACAGTGCAATGTTCATCTCATGCACTGATCATGTAGGGTGGTATAAAGTAGCTCAAAATTTTAACACTTGTCAACGATAAAATGGCCTAATAAAATGTCTGCATGTAGAATTTAAGAGATTATGTAAATAAAGCCCATGTAAAGAATTCCTTCCCCCAAAGTTGTCATGTTTCCATATGTACCGCATCCTAAGATCACCAACAAACTAAATGTGAAGGATTGAAAGTCTTTTTGATACCAGTAGATTGGATAAACAGAGCTGAGAAACAAGTGGTATAGGAGCATGAAATCTATTGGCTAGTCAAAGTGTTTGAGTCAAAGATGCAGTGCAGTAGTGTAGGACAACAATTTCTGTCCAGAGTGAGAAGGCCGCAGCCACCACAAAAACAGATAAATACAAGGCTATGAGCTCGTAGCAATTTAGCTTGCTCAGAAGAGTGTTTAAATCAGGGAGTGATATGATCTTTTGAAAGTACATGTTGGACCTCCGCTACGTAGCATTCAATGGAGACCAAGATTGTTTTCAGATTAGACATAGTTTGATTTTATGGCTTAAAACAGTGAGGAGGAGGCGGCAGGAACCATAGGCGTGAAATAGGTTGGGGATGCTTCTTCAAAAATATTGCTGTCAAGTTCAAGAATGTGCTCAAAGCACTCCGTGACAACTGCTGTAATTTTGAATTATGTTAATGATTGTACAGGTAGTTGAGTCTCAAAGTTGTTCTCTTTACTACAGACTCTTGAGTATTTATTTGTGGGAGGAAAATATAATTAAACCACTTGGCAAGCTAATAGAAGGTGGCATACATTTTTATTGTACATGGCCAAGGCAAATAGGAGTATAGCAAGTATTTGTGCCACTTTTGCACAGCTTGTATAAATGATTGCATGTAGTATAATATGTTGTATTACTCACAGAAAATATCAAGGATCATGGAAAGGAGAATGTCCGAAGGTTAAGAGAGATTCAGAAAAAATGCAAAGAGAAAGAATTGGAGAAAGAACATTTGGGTCCCAAACCTGTAAAAGCCCTTTGGAAATCCAACAAATATGAGAATGTGGAGTCTAAAGTAAAACAAAAGCTTCAGGTAAATGTTAGTGTCCCAAACATACTTTTTATATTGTCTATGCAGAATATAATAAAATAAGAATGTTGGAGAATTGCTAATTTTAGACCCCAATATTACAAAAAGAGATTATGGTATGTGTAACATTTAGGCAACTTGAACAACTCAAACAATTATCCTAATTAATGAAGTCACGAAGGTGCTTTTTTTTGCCTATATAATCATTCACTGTATTTTTTTTGATTTAATCACAACAGTTTCTGAAGATGTTAGAGTTACTTTAGTGTGCTGGCGCCACCACATATGCACTAATAATGATGATATCATGTTACCAAAGTTGCATACACCACTCATCTTTCTCATTTTAATGTTTGGTCGAACAGAAATTAAACCTCCTAACCACAACTGCTTGCTTTGTGTATGTAGTTGCAGATATGAGTCACTGTGGCCACTCCATGTAATCGTTTACAGTCAAAGTACCTTTTCAAATTATTATCATAGACCTGATCCTTTCTGTGTAGAAAAAAATATATTATTATTGAATGTCCTTGGCACAGAGAAAGCCTTCTCTTACTAATGTTGTCTTGATTACTTGCAGGAGAAAGTAACCACCCACAATCAAGAATCACTGAATTTCCTAAAGGCTCATTCTCATTGTGGCTCAGGAATACAACCTAAACGATCATTGACCCCAAGATCAAGAAGTCCAAAATTTCAACCTGATATATCTGAGCAAGATTTTAAGGTAGGTTTCATCATGTAATTGGACTGCTTTAGTTGGGACATATATGTATTTTTTAAAAGTATTTAAGGATGGTATATTAGCACACAAACGTTAAACTGCCATTAAAACAGGCTGCCAATTTCTACTTTTGGACCATTTGGCAAGGAGGCTACATTGCTGAAGTATTCAGCCATTAGGTATGAGCTAACTTTGTCCTACCAATATGGAATATGTAAGGAATTTCACAGTTGTAGAGTTTCAGAATATGCTGCTCTAAATAAAGTCTTAAAGGAACACTAAAACACTTTGAAGAGCGAGTTTTCTTTTTTTTTTCATGTAACAAAAGTGCAGATTTTAATAGCTTTTTAAAATTAACTCTTTTACATCCTAACAATCTCCTTTAACATGATTAAGCAATTTAATATGTGCAGTAATACAGTACTTTAAGATGAGTCCATCTTTGTCAGAGTTTCATGCTGCGGTAGAGAAGACAAAAAAAAAAAGTTTAGCCTTGTGAAATCCACTGTACCATAACTAGAACCTGTAATGTCACCATCCAACCAGTAACATGGTGATACTATGTAGATTGGGCTAATTCAATTCCTCCTGTCAGATGTGAACAGAGGTAACTCAGTCTGTGCTTATATGACTTTTTTAGTGTGTGCCAAGACTAGAAGAGTTAAGCAATGTTGTCCCTTTGCAGGACTAGGCCATTCACTACTGGTCCTTATTTATCATCCCTCTCTCCTATGACTAGTCACATTATCCAGTGCGCAAATCTATTATGCACTAGCCGTACAAGCTGGAACAACTTCCTAGCAGAACTCCTGTCCTTTCCAGTTGTAGAAAATACTTTTCTGAAGTTTTGTAGTCCTCAACTACAGATTTGACCTACTTTTGCATCATTTTCAATATGCATGTCAGTGCTAGCTGCAGGACGCTGAGAACAGTGTGGACTTGCAATAAGAATAGGAACTTAAAAGGTGTGTATTTTTATTTTATTACATACTTTTTATGTATTTATATAATGCATTACAATGGACCAGACTATTAGGAGAGAAGTAAAATAACAAAAAATTACCACCTTGGGACCTATAACCAAGGAAAAAAGATTTTTTGTGGGGAAGTAGTGAAATTCTGTATTTTTACAGTAGTAGTGATATAAATCCATAATTGTACCATGTAGAGAATCTATTATTTTTTCTAATGAATACTCAATGCTGTCGACTTTGTTATTTTTCTAATCATTGTAATTCCTTATTTGTTTTATGTATCGCTACAGTGAATACAAATAATAAAAAAAAAAACTGCCTTTACTATCAATTTGCTATCTCTTTCATGTGGATGCAGGTGCAAGGAACTGGCATTGATTTTGTTGCACATAATGCAAGAAATGCAAACAAAGTCAAAATAAGACGGTCCCGTTCACTGCAGGGTCTGAATGAGGTTTTAGAGCACAAGCAAAACGAGCAGAAACAGTATGACTCCAATCAAAAGGGACATGTTCCTCAATAGTAAGTAGTATTACTTGTCAGATAAATTGCTAAAGGGACTGTCCAAAAACAAAAATATATCCATTCACTGCTTAGTAGATACACCCCAATGAAAACATGCATGTATTTTTACACTGACGTGTTTTTAAAAACAGCCTTTAAAAGCTGGGAGACTTGAGATTGATAAGATACATCCTACATCCTAACAGTAGGGAGCTTTAATGATATTTCTTGAAATCTTAACCTCTTAAGGACCAGTGACATCATGACAATCTGTCTCCCTAAGAACACAGTCTAAAATGGAATGTCCCACAGAGCCAACAAACCTGAACAACATGGCTGCATGAGGTTCCAGACCTAAATCAGCAGGGCATACCATGTTGGTATGTGGCATCGCTGGACTCTAGTGGCACGCTGTCCCAAAATGGTACAATCAGCTCTAACCCAAAGTATCGCTGCCTACGTGTTCTCTTTGACTCTGACCTCTCCTTCACCCCTCATGTCCAGACATTCGCCAAATCCTGCCGCTTCCATCTCAAAAACATAGCGAGCATCCACCCCTATTTAACACCTGATGCCGCTTTCCTCTCTTGGCTTCTAATTCCAGTGTACACTTGGATTCTTTCAGTCAAACTGAAAAACATTTCCTCCATTTGGGTGTACCATACAATAGAGGGGGGAGGACTTGTATCGGAACAGTAAGACTATATATTTGGCTACATTTAACAAAATAATTGTTAGTGATTTCTTATAAGAAAAAGGTTTTAAGGTGGCATTGTTTAAAAAGAGTGGGGCTGGCCGAATGGGAATTGGATTATCCGAAAATGTGTTGATTAATCAGTGTATAGATTTCCAATAAGGTTGTATATGGGAGAAATCCCACCAGATAAGTAGAAAAGTACCTAGGGAACTAGTAAATCGCATGTACTATGTAGGGAATGGTCAATGTGTTGACACACAATTTCTATAAGGAATGCTACAAAAATACCTAACTTTTATACAGCTGATATTTTTTAAATGTCTCTTGGGCTATGTGACCGAGAAAATACATGAAAGTATCAGATTCTGAATTACTGTAGGGAGATCACTGCAAAAATAAAGTAAAGAGCAAGATACTAAAGCCCTATGCAGTAGGAGAACTCCACTGAAATAAATCTTCACAAGAAAAAAAATAAAATAAATAAAGAGTGAAAATAAATAAGTATAAATGCTAATAGAACGCAGAGACAAAATAAACCAAGATCGCTAGTAGTAGAGATAAATATCCTGAGTACCCGATGTAGGGATCTTTCTATAGAAAGTTAAACTGTGCCTTCGAGGGCACCTAAATCCAAATAGATAGACTGCTATACTAGCTAAGGATTATAGCTTTGACGAAAATTATCATCCAGTGAATAAACCTTAATAGGCTAGTGTAGTTATAGACCTCTTAGTGCCTGAGACTAGCAGCTAAGGAGAGCAAAACTGTGCCTTCGAGGGCACCTAAATCGAAGTCTGCTGCTACACTAGCTAAAGATAATAACTAAAACGAGAATTGACGTCTAGAGGTCAGACCTATCGTAGCGTTCTAGAGGTATGACCAGACTATGAGTCTAGGTAGCGTGCTGCAGAGTGACTTGGGTATGATAGCCCGGTTGAGATGATGGATCAGATGATCAAATAGCTGCAGAGACGCTACCTACAGGAGCCCCAATGCGCGTTTCACGTACTTTGAATTTATCCCTAAGGGTTACCCCCTAATTTCTCTGTCCTATTGATACCCCATATGCTTCTACTTTTTCTAACTTGGCTCTAAAAGGAGGGCGTTGCTGAAGTTGTTGTGTTACCCAGTGTGTCCATTTAACTTACATCCTGCCAAGGTTGTGCTGCATATTTCTAAGTTTGTATTCACATTTCCTGTAATACCCTCTTGAGGCAATGGTCCAACCTCTGAACCAAAACAAAACCTAGAACTTTGTTCAACCATAATTTAAGGGTTTCTCTTTGAATGCCCCAATACATATTATATATTGTTTTTTTTGTTTTTTTTATTCAAAGTTTATTGTATTTTTTTTCAGAAAAGTAACAATAATCACACAGTGTTAGAAACTACATATGTTGACATCTGACGGAAGCGCACAAGATACATAGCAGTGAGTGTCTCAGTAGCTTACTATACAGAAATTGTACAGCCAAAATAATAATCTAACAAAAAGTTTGAAAATAACATAAGACCTCACATAGTGATTGTTCAGAGGATCAGTTGTTCATAGCCTGAGTATATTTATTTATAAAATATTTTACCAGGAAAGATACATTGAGATTTCTCTCATTTTCAAGTATGTCCTGGGTCCACAAAACATTGCATTGTTACAATAGGATACAATATTACAAAAATACAATATACAAACTATATATATATGTGTGTATATATATATATATATATATATATATATATACACACACACACACATATATAAATTTAATACATAACAGGTAATAAATATATTTAACCATGACCAGTGCATTCTGTATTGAGATATATTGCCATAGATCTCTTAAAAGATTTTAGGTTGAATGAAGATTTGACTGTGTCCCTGAGATTATTCCATAATCGCGGTGCTCTGTAGGGAAATGAAGATCAAGCCACTTTATATTTGTATTGCGGTATGCTAAATATCGTGCTAGTACTGGATTGGAGGTTATAGGAGGTGGGAACCGCTTGGGAGAGCATTCTACTCAGGTAGTGGGAGCTTCCCAAAAATGCTCTTATGCACAAGCTGGAAAGATGGAGTGTGTCGGGATTCCATTGATAGCCAGTTTAGCTCTTTTAACATATCACGGTGGTGGGTAAAGTAATTACATTCTACTACAAAGCGTCAGAATGAATTATATAACGTATTAAGATTATTAAGGTGGGTTTGCGGTGCGGATGCATGCGTGTGGACGCATTTTTTCAAGATTTTTGACGATACTGGGAGCAATGATATCGGGTGATAGTTTAATACCAAAGTATTGTCACCACTTTTATGGATAGGTACAACTTTTGCAGTCTTCCAAAGTTTGGGTATGTTTCCTGACACCAGGGATTCATTGATAAGGGTAGTGACAGGTTTAGCAATTGCTGGCGCACTGAGCTTCAGCAACATTGCTGGGATTTGATCTGGTACACAGTGTTTTTTTATTTTTAAATTATTAAGATGTTTATTAACGACACTGACAGGCACAGGTCTAAAATTGAATTTCTCTATATGAGGATTTTGAAGATTTGGCAGGGCCTGATATTTATTTGCGGTCTGAAAATGAGTGTCATTTGTTATCTTAGCAACCAGGGTGGCAGCACATCCAACAAAATAATTATTAAAGACATTTGCTACATCTAGGGGGTGTTGCAGTGTTTTGTTGTCCATTTTGACAGTGAAGGGTTGGGAGTGGATTGTGGGGGTTTGTATGCTATTTATGATTTTCCAGAAGTTACTCGGGATTGATAGGTTTGTTGTTCAAATTTTCACTGAAATATTGGGCCTTTGCCATTTTTGTTTGTTTTGTGCATGCATTTCACCATTGTCTGTAAGTACAGGGATCATTCATGGAGCCAGTACGCTTGAACTTTGACCACCGTGAATCTCTAAACTGGTACATTTGACAGGGAGAGTATAAAATATAGTCCTACTCACATTTTATGGAGCAGGCAAACTGCTCTATGGATAGGGCGTGGGTGGAATAATCCCCACCGAGGATATTACTTGGAAGTGATGTTCACTGGAAATAAAATCAGGTGCCAGGCAGTACAGGTACCTTACCTCCACTTGAAAAAGCCTTTAAAGGTGAAACGCGTTGTGGTTATTATCTGAATATTTTATTTTATATGAACAAAGGTATTTTGGTTACTTCTCGTGCCATTTTTTTTTTTTATTCTACATTTTATTTTTGTTACTATTTTATTATTTTTATCCTGTACTGCCTGGCACCTGATTTTAAGTGGCTACTACAAAAGACTGGACATACTCCATTTTGAATACCCTGGGTTGTCTAAATCTGAAAATGGTATGCCATGATGGGGTTATTTCACATTCCTGGGTCACCATATGGTCTCAAAATGCAACACATACCCAGGAAACCAATCTGGCACACTGAATTGACCCTGTAACTTTCCAAAACACCATAAAACCTGTACATGGGAGGTATTGTTATACTCGGGAGAATTCGCTGAACACAAATATGAGTGTTATAAAGCAGTAAAACTTATCACGACGATGAAATCACCGGTAAAAGTGCAGTTTTTGTGTACAAAAATAAATAAAAAAAATTGCAAAAAACAAATAAAAACGCTAACTTTGGCCAGTGTTTGTGGCTAAGTGGCTACTAAAAAGCACTGGACTTACCCCATTTTGAATACTCTGAGCTGCTATACGGTCTCAAAGGCAACATAGGTCCAGAATTAGTGCATGAAATGTGTTAAAATACCATCATTTGAAATTCCCTAGGGTGTCTACTTTACTTTTCAAAAATATATGGTTTGATAGGGGTAAATTACATTGGGTGGCTTCAGAAATGTCCCAAATAGGACATGGGTGCATGATGACCAGCTATGAAAATTCCAAGTTGGAAAACTGGAATGCGCACCCTCCAAATAAGGCCTTTTAGCCCCCAGATAACCCGACACACCTATACATGGGTGGTATCACAGTACTCAGGAGATGTTGCTGAACACATATTGGGGTGTTCTTTGGCAGTAACCCTCCGTATATGTATTCTTAAATTGCTATGTGTTTCAATAAAATCACCAATTTTTTATTTATTTTTTTGGCATAGCTTGGTGGTAAAATGGTTGAATGAAAAGAGTCAAAATACCCCAAGTTTAATATCTTAGGTTGTCTTCTTTTAAAAATATATATACATGTGAAGGGTTTTTCAGGGATTCGTGACAGATATCAGTGTTACAATGTAAATTTCGAAAAAAAATTGGTTTGGAAATAGCAAAGTGCAGCTTATACTTATAGTACCCTATAACTTTCCAAAAAAAGCTAAGAACATGTTAACATTGGGTATTTCTAAACTCAGGAATTTAGAAACTATTTAGCACAGGTGTTTTTTGGTGTATGTAGATGCGTAACAGATTTGGGGGGGTCAAAATTCAAAAAAGTGTGTGTGGTTTTTGTTTTGTTTTTGACATTTACATAATATTCTATAAAAATAAATTTATAGTAAATTATATGATGAAAATAATGGTATCTTTAGAAAGACCATTTAATGGCGAGAAAACGGTAAATAATATGTGTGGATACAGTAAATGAAAAAGAGAGTAAAATTACAGCTAAACACAAACACCGCAGAAATGTAAAAACAGCCCTGGTCCCAAACGGTAAGAAAATTGAAAAGCGGCCTGGTCACTAAGGGGTTAAAGGAGTAAATTTTATGGACTTGTCAACATAAATAACAATGCCTCCTCTTCTCTTTGCTCTGTCATTTCTAAAACATGAATAAGCCTGTATTGAAATGGCGGAGTTATATGTTATAAGTAGGTGTTTAATCAATAGCATCTATTGAAAATTCTTTGTCCTTTGTTGTCTCTTCGTAAAACATGCATATATTATTTTTTAAAGGAGAGAAACTGCTTTATTTTAATATCTTCTATGTATACCTCATAAGTGTGAATAAGATGTTAAAAATGAGTCGAGTGCGTTTCTTCACATTTTTCCTTATAATTTTTTTTTTTACATATTAGTGCAATTAAATGACTGTAGGTCAAAATAGATTTACTTTTCAGCCCTGATTGTTAAATGCCTCGTATGTCTAGCCTCTAAATTAATTTTTGATAGTTAATGCTGACCCTACACCAACCCTCTCCCTAATGCTATGCTTTCACTAACTCTAACCTGAGCCCTACACTATCTTTAACACCAAAATAGCAATAATCGTTTCACTAATTCTACACAAACCCTATCCATACCCTACTACTAACCTTAACCCAACCCTAACCATATCCATGCTCATACTAGAACATAAGGATGTGTCAATATGTCATAACGGCATTAACCCCTTAAGGACCAAACTTCTGGAATAAAAGGGAATCATGACATGTCACACATGTCATGTGTCCTTAAGGGGTTAAAGTCTAGTATAGTTAGGAAGTACTAACGCATCCTAATGTTGTTAAATATGTTGTTTTGATATCCACTTATATCCCTCTGTTGTGAACTACATAATAGAATTTAAAAAAAAAAAAAAAAAAACAGATGACCACTTAAAAGCTGTGTTTTATCCCCTTCTTGTGTCTAATATACCTAAAGTCTTTCAGATCCTGTAGTGTCTGCCACTCCCTTCAGTCTTCCATCTCCACTTTGTGTCTACGTGGTGCCTTAGACATATCCCACAGAGGCATATAATTCCTCCAGCTATATTTCCTCCACAAACACCTCAAGTGTGTTAATTCTGTTTCTGTGTTTGGGAGAATAGATATTACATTGCATTTGAGAATGGTTCTTGTTTACCATCAGTCTGCCATAATCCAGATCCCTCTTGTTGTGTTTTCTCAATAGCCTTATTGATTTGAAGGAGAAGTGGCTCAAGGAAAAAGAAGAACGTAAAAAGCGGACCCCTGATCCATCCTTACCACCAGGACACACCATGATGCCAGAAGCTGAAAGACTGGAAACTCTAAATAATATAAAACAGAGTAAGAAACCATTTCCGCTTTAAGTTTTCACTCTGTGGTGATAAATGTCTCTCCACCTGTTGTGTAACAAAATATCTAAAATACCTTGCCACTCCTTAATGATGGGACTCTAACCCTACATCCTAAAATATTAGGAAAAGGGTACATTTCCTTAGATTTAAAAAAAAATAAAAAAATACATTACATCATGTGCATGCCTCGTGAGGAAATATCTCTAAATCTCCTCTTTTTCCCTTTCTAATGCCTGCATGGCAAATGGCAGGAATGCATGGTAGGGCCTCTTGGGGTTTACTGCATTGTATTCACTCTCAGGATCATGCAAGAGTCGACACAGAGAACTAATGTCACGACACTCCAGCTTGACAAAGGCCCTTAGGGGTCGAAACGTTGCTTTTTGGTTTCTTGTTCCAATAAAAAATTGCCTCTACTTTGGAATTCGCTGGAGTGCCTGGATTACTTTCTATATTTGACACTCCAGTATGTGACGCAACACTGGAGGAAAATAAGTGATCAGCCAATGATAAAGTTGAAAAAGGCCGTGGAGCTCCACAAATACTTCAGTCTTTGTCAACTTTTTTCAGCCTTTTTTCCCTAGTTTTCGCTAAGCATAACTTTTAAGATATTTATAGGTTTTTGGTTTTTTTTTTAACGAAAAAATGGGCCTGCCTATGGGGAGGTAAACACATTAGAAGAAAAAAAAATGGAAAGAAATGACGGAACCGCTTTAAACAATATTGATGTTACAAATGTTCGGGGCATTTCTTATTAAGGTATGAAGAAGATAACCATAATTTTTGTTTTTCTGTTTTTATTTCATTCATAGCCCAAGACCAGCTGATTAAAGAGTTACTGAGACTTCCAGTCAGGGCAGACACATTAAGCATTCAAAATCGACGCACAGAACTGGAGAAAAAACTCTCCGAGATTGAAGAAGCTATTAAAATATTTTCTCATCCAAAGGTCTTTATAAAAATAGATACTTGAGTTTTCTTTTTTGGAATCACTTATTAATTAGTATGTTTGCATTAAAATCTGCTAAACCAGGGACAAAAGCTACAAACTTACTTGGCAATATCTAGAATTTTACATTCTTTAAATCTATACGCAAAGATAATTTACATCAAACACAACAATTATGAAATCCTTCTTTCTTATTTTTATCATTGCTCATTCCATGATTTTTAATAAACAGTTGTACCGTTTGTCTTAAAAAAAAAAAAAAAAAAAAAGTACAGTTAAAAGACGCTCTAAGCAACATAATCACTACAGCTGTTTTTCTTTCAAACTATTTTAGAGGTTTTGCACAAAAAGGCACTTTTAAAACAATCCTGGTGCTAACCCCCTCCAGCCAACTTTATAATGTGGAAGTCATATTGAAAGCGGCACTGTCATAGGTTGTTCTTCCCCCTTCCTTATGCCCCTTATATCTTAATGATTATTACCCCCTTCTTGCCATTAAAGGGAAACTCCACTCCCCAGATATAGAATAAATTAAAACCAATGTTTAGTAGATATACCCCCTTCTTGCCCAGACATTCTGTCCAACCACAGACTTCCCAATTTAACTCAGATAAGAAGTCTCTGCGAGGCACGTGCTCTAAGCAATTGCCTGTCCCATGAGTTTAGCTCCACTGAGCTAACCAAAGAAAGGGACAGGACCTGTTATGTGCTTGAAAGCAAGGGGTTGTAACAGAGTTAATTATTATAAGTGTACATTTCTATTGAAATCAGCACTTTTTGGAAAATGAAGAAAAAATAGGACAACTCTTCACACATTAAGCTTTTCAGCAAACTAATGTGCTTTAGGGGTCTGGAGTGTCCCCTTAACTATATTTATTATCTTATCTTTTGTACTGGATTTCAATGTATAGGTGTTGTCATTTTGTTCTCATCTATTTGTGATGTCTGCTGTTTGCCCTTCTGTGGGATTCTTGGAGCTAATTGTGAGGAACTGGCTATGACGACAGGAATACCCTGGTCTGGTTCCCTATTAATGGGGCAAACTGTTTAACAATGGTTTACCATCTTATCTGCATCCTCCACCTTGCTCTGATGTTACCTTGTGGTCTGGTGATGCTCTTCCAGCTTCTTCAGAGCTGCAGAAACTAGAAGCCATTCATTGGTTGAGTGCAGCAGCTGATCACGTTCAGCCAATGAGTGACATTTTGTTGTACAGTATTGACATTAGCTTCCTAACCCTCACGTGGTCATCGTGCTTAGAGTAATCCTTTAATTTAAGAACTCAACCTGCAGTGCCAGAGCCACTCTAAGCTTTCCCAATAGTAATTTCACCCAATATGTACAGCAGTGGTAGGCAAGAGAGCACAGAGCTAGCCTGCCCCAGCTTTTAGCCTATCATTGCTCTTCAGACTGGATGAAGTTGATTTAATAATGTAAAGGTCATTTCCACATTACCTAGTCAGCTGGAGAGGTGGCCGTCTCTGAATGCCAGAATATCCCTATTTTTCTGCAAAATCATTTTAAAACAATTTATAGACCAGAGCAGATGACTTTAGTTTTTGTTTATTTGATTTTGTGTTGTTTACTTGGTGGTGGTGATGTTTTGTAGATATATGTAATATAATTACACAAAGAATGTATAAAATATATGCATTATTAACAAAATTGAGAATAGAAGAATGTGATCCATGCCATACAGCTTTCTGGTTCTGTAGCGCACATTTTGCAGAGAGCACAGTAAACACATGTAAATATTAATTTAAACATGTTTTCATTGAAAATTATCAAAACATGCATGCCATGTATAGCATTTTTATTTTACTGTAAAACCAACCATAAAGTTTACATAAATAATATAAATATTTGTACATTTTTGTTTTAATGGATGATTGTAATAATTTTCTCATTTTCTTCCTCTCGCATGTTAAAGCATTACTATATTAACAAAATAAATGTCTACAAATAGTAACATATAACTACAAAGTAAATGATGAATTACAAACTTGAAGAAGAACCAGCCCACCAAGATTACTTTTTCACAGTTTAAATGATAAACTGGTCTCCTTGTATGAATCATAGGACATTGATAGATAACCACGATAGCTAAAGGAACACTCCAAACACCATAATCACTATAACACACTGTGTTAGTGAGTATGCTCTATGTCCGTTTGAAAGCGTGGCCACCTGACATCACCATAGGTGTGAAGATGTTGATGTAGAAAGTAAGAGTGTATGTTTTTTTTTGTTTGTTTTTTATTGTACGGTAAGTGTAGAATCCAATAGAAATTGACATTTTTAGAAGTTATCCGTGTTACAACCCTCTGGCTTTCAATCAGACTACCGGTCCTGTTACTTTTTAGTTGCTTAGCTCAGTGGAGCTTGACTGAAGAGACAGGCAGTTTCCCAGAGCTTTGCAAAGACATCTCATTGGGTTGTGTTGAGTTAGAAGGTAAGGGCTTGCAAAGACAGCAGACTAGATCTGCGCCTTTTAAATGCATAATTAAATGTGTGCATGTTTTCATGTGGGGTGTATCTACTAAACAGTGGGTTTATTTGTTTGTGTATTTTGGCAGTAGAGTGTTCCTTTAGGAATTCCACATGAAGTCTGAGACTAGCTTTAATTGTTGTGGCTCCTTTAAGATGGAAAGATACAGCCTTGTGGCTTACTTTTGGTTTCCAGACTTGAGCTTTCCTTTCAGAGTTAGGTTCTTTTTGGCATGTGCTTAGATGCTATTCTTTTCACAGTTACTGAGGTCAAGAGCATATTCCTACTACAGGGGCGTGCCTTGGGACCTTCTTATTTCTTTTGGTCTCCCAAAGGCACTGCTCCAATTCCCTTGGTTCCTCCCAGGCCTTGGGTGTTTCATAGCCCTGTTGGAAGCAGTGCTCTTTCTTCTAGAAGAAGCCCAAAGAGATCAATAAAACTCGTGAAAAGTTTCCCCTAATGCGGCCTAGATTGTCAGTGGGGAATTTTCTGCAACACTTCCAGGAGGCTTGGATAGGCTCGTAGCATAGAAACTGTAGTTGCCCCATAACCCAGACAATATCCTGGTACAAGCAACTTCTAATATCTAGAGGTACTCCACACTTATATTATGGTCTCTCAATTGGAGGAGCAGGGTTGGTGCATCAAACATCCCAAGAACTCAGTAGTTTAGTGAGAACAGGTGTCCTTTTAGGGGACCATTGTGGAGTTCAGTGAGATGTGGCTTTTTCTGCCAGAATTGTTCTTGATTGTGTAAACTATAGATTGACTGTATCCTCCTGCTGGCTTAGCCTATCCCCTTGTGAGAACTGCATAATGCACTTGTCACTGATAGTGGCTTCCTCAGAGGCAGCACTCTTTTCAGGTTTCTGCTTGTGTCCCATTCATTAGTCCACACTCTGGCAGTGAAACAGAAATTGTTCAGTCTGGTAAGGTGGGTCTAATGCCATTTTGTCCAACCCTAAAGGTGTTCAAGAAATTAATTAAATGAAGTAGGAATTATAAACAAATACATAAATAAATCAAGATTGTTCAATCAGTAAAAAAAAAAAAAAATCCTAATTCATGGTTAGGAGGAGAATCTCTGCAATGGTTTTACCCTAGAAGAACCAAGATTAAAGAGGCTAACCCCAGATAACAGACCTTTTAGGTTGGGGAGCCCATTATAGGAAAAATAGACTCAATGCCTAGTCACCTTAAGACACTCCTCTGCAGTCAATCTCTCAATAATTAGGAGCAATCACAAAGGGTCTGGCATTTTCAAGAAGGATTTGATCAGGTCTGAGTGGCTATCCCAGTGGACAACAGATGTATAAACCACTAATGCTGAACCAACTGTTGAAATAAATTAATGATGCTACAATGGGCCACATTCACCTAGAAGGTGTAGAGGCAGTTTATCTTCTGGGAGTTGATAACTCCTACCAGACTGTCCGAGCCTTTCTTCCATCAATCCAGAGGAAGGGAGCCTGAACAGTAAGTGTTCATAATACAAAAAAGTGACAGAAGAGGAAGGAGTTGTAAAAAGTTATACAATATTTCTCACTAACTCCAGACCAACAAACAGGACTGGAAGCATTGTGTCAAGTATGAGATTCTGACCTGGTAAATACGTTTCATTCTTAAACATTAACCTCCTAGAGGTTAAAAAAGAACTGGATAGAAAGATGATTGTCATAAATCCAATTTGGAACCAATAATCGTGGTGTCCCCATTTTGTGGTAAATGAGTCCAGAACAATTTTGGTAAGATGGTATATGTTACTTCATGGCTTCACTTTTTATTTTAGTTTGCAATCCCTGAACTGGATCTTGAAAATAAGAGACTGAACGACCTTGAACAATCAGAGGCAGTGATGGAAACACTCTGAAAATATTGAAAGATATCTACTTCTTGTTATAATTGCACAAAGGTGTTTAACAATTAGGAGTTTAAGCACTTTTGTTTCTGTTTATGCAGAAACTTCTTCCTGGCTGTGACTGACACAGCCTTCGAGAAAATGGTTTCATTTTAAATCAGATGTAACTTACAGGTTTTATCTCCTGCTCATTAACTTGAAGTTTAAAAGTTTAATTACATACAGGAGGCTCCTGTAAGGTCTAGCAAGCTATTAATAGAACAGGAGATAAGAAATTCAAAATTAAATTCAATTAGCAAAAAAGGAAGTTTAAACATTAGCTGACTCTTTGCAGGAAATGTTTAGGAAGGCTGTGTAAGTCACATTCAAAGAAGTGTGCTTAGGGCTGCAACAAAGTGATTTAACGCAAATGGCAGGGAATTGAGCAGTGCGACTGCAGGGGCATGATCTATACAAGAAAACTGCTTCATTAAACTTGAAAGTGTCCCTTTAATTTCTTTTATTCTTCTCAGCTTGACATTCTAGAATTAATTTCAGCAAGTCTTGACAAGGACTAAGCGTTGGCACTCTAAAAGTTGAAATGTTCACATTATCTTTGCTTTTTGCCATATATCCTGTATAGCTTGGGTTGAAAATGAATTGATCACCAGGTTTCTAAATGCTGCCATTAAAATTACATCTCCAGTTAAAAATATTCCCTACCCTCCCCCTTGAATTTACCATTTGTATTGAACGCTAATACGTATGGTGTCATGCAAATACTTGGTGTGCATTGTAAAAAAAAAAAAATCTGAATACTAGGATTAGTGACTATATAACCAATTCCTTTACTCAGTAATCTACACTTACACCAGAGATTTAAACAGCAGGGGAGGTGTTTCAGAATGTAATTATAAAAGTGCCAATTTCTCATGGAAATCAACACTTCTATAATGTGCAATTAAAAGAGGATACTCTGGGCACATAAAGCACTTCAGCAAGCGGAAGTGTTTTATGTGTGAGGGATGGTGCTGTGAAAGCAATTAGAATTAGGATAGCGTAGTGGCCACAAGATTTTGCAGTGATAAGATCATTGGATACTTTGGTCAACTAGCTGTTTTAACAGAGTGACAAGCACGGAGTCCAGATTGAAGCGGGTTAAGCAGAGAGTTGGATTTGAGGAAGTCTGTCAATCTCGCATACACAACTCTCTCAAGGATCTTGGAGGCAAACATCAGTAGCGAGATAGGGTGGTGGTTAGGGTCAAGTTTGGACTTTTTCAGAATCGGTGTAATGGTTGCATGTTTGAAGGGTAGAGGAAATATGCCAGAGAAGAGTGAGAGATTGAAATTTTTGGTGAGAGGCAGAGCAAGAGAAAGAGACAAATGCGGATGAGATATGAGGGAATAGGATTAAATAGGAACAGGTGGTGGGGTGGGAGGACCAGAGCAGAGCAGTAGTGATGTCGCGAACCCGAAATTTTCGGTTCGCAAAAGGCGAACTTCCGCAAATGTTCGCGAACCGCCATAGACTTCAATGGGCAGGCGAATTTTAAAACACAGGGACTCTTTCTGGCCACAATAGTGATGAAAAAGTTGTTTCAAGGGGACTAACACCTGGACTGTGGCATGCCGGAGGGGGATCCATGGCAAAACTCCCATGGAAAATTACACAGTTGATGCAGAGTCTGGTTTTAATCCATGAAGGGCATAAATCACCTAACATTCCTAAATCACAATGGATATGGATTGACACCTGACATATTGACACCTTGACATATGGATTCACACCTGTCATCAGAGATCCTGATACACACTGACACAGAGCAGAATAGAGACTGTTCCCCCTACATAGGGTCACTTGGCAGATATGGATTGACACCTGTCCTAAGGATCCCTGATACACAATGACACAGAGCAGAATAGGGACTGTTCCTCCTACATAGGGTCACTTGGCAGATATGGATTGACACCTGTCTTCAGAGATCATGATACACACTGACACAGAGCAGAATAGAGACTGTTCCCCCTACATAGGGTCACTTAGCAGGCAGGGGCGGGCTGGGCTGGGGGGCAGGGAGGCAATTGCCCCCCAGGCCGCCCCAAATCCTTTTAAGACCGGCCGCTGCAGGGCCGGTCCTAATGCTGCAGCCGCCTGAGCGCTCTGTTAAGAGCCTCAGGCAGCTGCAGCACATCTTCTCCCCTCCCCTGTAGCTGGCCGAGCTCCTCTGCTGTCCTCGGTGCCCGGCCGGAGTGATAGGAAGGTGCACACTCAGTGTGCAGATCCTGTCAGTCCGGCCGGTTACAGGAAACAGAAACTCCTGTTCCGCGCAGAGTTTCTGTTTCCTGTAACCGGCCGGACTAACAGGAAGTGCACACTGAGTGTGCACCTTCCTATCACTCCGGCCAGGCACCGCGGACAGAGGACAGAGGAGCTCGGCCAGCTGCAGGGGAGGGGAGGTGAGGGGATTAATAAAAAGAGGGGGAATTAAGAAGGGGGAGTGGTGGGGGAATTAAGAAGAAGGGGGAGGGGTGGGGGAATTAAGAAGGGGGAGTGGGGGGATTAAGAAGAAGGGGGAGGGTGGGGGGAATTAAGAAGAAGAGGGGGGGTGAGGGGAATTAAGAAGAGAGGGGTGGGGGGAATTAAGAAGGAGGGAAGGGGTGGGGGATTAAGAAGAAAGTGGGGGAGATTAAGAAGAAGGGGGAGGTGGGGGTTAAGAAGAAGGGGGAGGGCTGGGGGATTAAGAAGAAGGAAGGGGTTGGGAGATTAAGAAGAAGGGGAAGAGTGGGGGGGATTAAGAAGAAGAGGGGGGTGGGGGGAATTCAAGAAGAAGAGGGGGTGGGGGGAACTAAGAAGAGGGCTTTGGGGGGAATTAAGAAGAAGGAGGAGGGGGAATTAAGTAAAAGGGGGGATTAAGAAGAAGGGGAGGGGGGAAATTAAGAAGAAGAGGTAGGGGGAATTAAGAGGGGGGAGGGGGAATTAAGAAGAAGGTGGGGGATTAAAAAGAAGGGGGGAGGGATTAAGAAGAAGGGGGGATTAGAAGAAGGGGGAGAGGTGGGGGGATTAAGAAGAACGGGGTGGGGAGATTAAGAAGAACAGGGGGATTGGGGGAATTAAGAAGAACGGGGGATTAAGAAGAACGGGGT